TTAGGTTTAAAAGCGTGTGCCTCCACACCCAGGCTCAGCTATTATTTCTTTAAATACTCTTTGTTCCTCTTCCCTGTGTTGTGACGTAGAAGGTGTATAGAGTGTTGTCAAGGTCTTAGCTGGGCAGTTTTCACGTTCACTGTTCTGCTTCCCTGCGCATATTGTCTTCTGTGCTTGGCGTCTAGTGTTTTGAATACTATTTTGCCTCTATTTTGTTTTATTGTTATTTCAGGCATGAAAATAAATCCAATCCTCATTACTCCAGTTTAACTAGAGGGATCAACCAGATTTTGTTTTCTTTTTCTCTGTAAGTTTTTAAAAATTAAAAATAGTTTTAATGATTCTTTGAGAATTTCATATAATCTGTTTTGATCATATTCAGATCCTTTTCCCCATCTCCAATCCTACCTTACTCTCCTCCCCAACTTCAAGTCCTCTATTGTTATTTTTCTTTTTTAAAAAGGCTTATCAAGTCTTAGTGTTCCCCAAATGCTCTTGGGTGTGGGTCCATCCCTTGGAGTTTGGTCAACCTACCTGACAACATACCTTTAAAGAAAACTGTCAGTCACAAATTTTTAATAACTGAAGAAATGAAAGGAATTAAACTACTTTGATATCCACACATTTGTATAATGTTGCTTTTTGAATTTTACAAGGCAAGAGTAAATTTGATAGTTAATTACCACTTAGTAGTGATGGTAAGAATTGAATTTATTCTGGATATGAAAATACAAGAATGTTTTGACTTTAAGAGGATAGGCATGTATTCTTACTGTCTTATTTATTTTTTTTAAGGCATGATATACATACAGCAAAATTTACTCTATTGAGTATATTGAAGCATACAGATCATAAAACTGTCCTTTGTAGAAAACCTCTTTCCTCTGAGCTCTAATGTACTGATAAGCACTAATCTATTTTCTATTTCTATAGGTTTGTGTTTTTTTGAGGGGGAAAGTCATATGAATTAAGTAATAGAGTCTTTTGATCTGACTTATCTCATTTCACTTGATGCATGTGAGATTCTTCCATGTTGGTGTGTACCAACACTTCATTCCTAGTTCAATATTCCATTGAATTGATAGTCTGGTTTTGGGGGGGGTTTGTTTGTTTGTTTTGACATCAGTAAATGCCAAACTAGGTAAAAGTAGTTGAATATATTTGAGAATGGCATGAAAAGGATTTAGGCCCCTTCCAATGGGCAATTAAATGACCTTAAACTTCCTTTCACATCTGCAAATTTTTAAGAGTTGAAATGCTAGTATAAATTGACAAGTGGAGGCTTGCTCAGTTGACTGAAAGGTACATACTGGAACATATGTTGTTGTAAATACAGTTCCTGAACTATTGTGGATTCCTGGTAATGAGATGTATTAGCTTTTTCATCACTGTGACAAAATACCTGAGCTTGAGAACAGCTTAGATCGTAAAGGACGTATCCTGGCTCTTGGCCTATGATTTCAAAGGTTGCATTCAGTGATCATTTGGCACCATCACTGTGGGCCTATGCTGATGCAGAGTATCATGGAAAAGAGAGCAGCCAGTAATCAGATAGAAAATGCCAGACTGGTGGGCTTTCTTTTTCCTTTTGTCTATTCATTATCTCAGCCAGAGCTGATTTCCTTTCTTAGTTAATCCTCTCTGGAAATGCCCTCCTACATACCCAGAGGTGTACTGGATTGATATTTTAAGTGCTTCTTGAGATGAACCATTACACAAAGGGAGTCATTTTTCCTTAGTGTTAGAACATTGCTTTTGTCCTTTTTTTTTTTTTTAAAGTATGTCCTCTTTCAAATTATTCCAAAGTAATCTTCCTTAATTTTGTTCACAGATTCCTTTAATTTACTCTTGTAATGATAGCATATGGAGAAAAATACTGGTGACTCTAGAGTGAAACAGGCAGGATTTCAGTGCTTAAAACTGTGTTTCTACAAAATCTGAAAATTATCCTCTAAAACTCAGCTTCCTTATTTTTAAAAATATTTTATTATTTTTTTACTTTTTTTTTTTTTTTTTTTTTTTTTTTTTTTTGGTCTTTTTGGGGCAAGGTCCCCCTGTAGCCGCAGCTGGCCTGCATTCACTAATGGAGACCAGGCTGACCTTGAACTCACAGAGATCTGCCTGCCTCTGCCCTCTGAGTGCTGGGATTAAAGGTGTGCACCACCACGCCCGGCTTTATTATTTTTTAATGTTATGTGTATGAGTGTATTGCCTGCATGTGTGTAAGTGCACCCAAATGTCATGCAATGCCCACAGAGGTCAGAAGAGGATGTTGAATTCTCCTGGAACTGGGCTTACAGACAGTTTAGCAACCATGTAGGTGCTGGGAATTGAACCCAGGTCTTCAAGAGCAACCAGTGCTCTTAACCACTGAGTCATCCCTCCAATCCCCTTAGCTTCCTTATTTTAAAATGGAGTCAAATATCCATCTTTTTGGGTTCTAAGAATTAAAAGTTTTATATACATAGATATAAACATACATATATGTGTGTATATGTTTGTTTGTTTTACTTTGTTTTTGAGACAAGGTTTTCCTGTAGCCCCAGCTGGCCTGCAACTTGTTATATAGACCCACCTGCCTCTGCCTCCCAAGTGATGGAATCAAAGGCCTGTACCACCATGTCTGGTGATACTTTATATACTTTAACGCAGTATCATAAGCACAGAAAATGATTAATTTCAAATACTACAAAACAGAGTTTCCCAGTCCCCCTTTTCTCTCCATATGAGTGGGGACCTATAAAAATCATCAGTTTCTTACAGTTTGATTAAAGGCTGGTAAGAAGTATGATTTTGTGTATGTATGTGTGTGTGTGTGTGTGTGTGTGGTATGACTGTGACTGTGTTTGTGCATGTGCATATTGAATCCAAGTGTTGGGTACCCCTCTGTAATTTTCCACTTTATTTTTTGTTTATTTTTGAGACACGTCTCCCTGTAGCTCCAGCTGCCCTGCATCTCACAGAGGCTTGCCTCTACCTACTGAGTGTTGGGATTAAAGATGTGTACAACCATGCCCCAATTCACTTTATTTTTTGATCCGAGATCTCTTACTGAACCTGAAACTCACCAGCTCAGCAAGCCACAATGATCCTTCTGTCTCTGCCTCACCAATATTACCAGCACTAGGATTAGAAGCACATGCTGGTGTGCTGGCTTTTATGTGGGTGCTGGGAATCCAAACTCAGGTCCTCAAGCCTGCATGACAAGCATTTTACTGACTGACTAGACTATCCCCTCAGTCTTACTTAAAAAAAAAATGTTTGTATGGAGCATGTTCTGGAACAGAGAAGGTCCTGTAGTAAAGAGGACACCTAAACATGCTCCCAAATGAACCTAGGTATAAGGTAGGTGAAGATCTGCAGGTGGCTTTTTCAAAAAAGAGTGAACAACAGATTCTGAGGCATCAAGATGGAAATCTGGCATATTCTGTAACATTAAGGGAATCACATGGCTGTAGTTCATTCAGCAAGTCAGAGTGGAAGGAGATGGGTGAAAACTAGTTACTTTTCTGTTGCTGTGATAAAACACCATGACCAAGGGAATTTATAAAAGGAGTTTATTTGAGCTCACTGTTCCAGGGGTAGAGATCCATGATGGAGGAGGCATGGTAGAAGGAGGTGGCTAGAGCAGAAAGCCAAGCCATCACGTCTTAAGCAGGCACAAGAAGCAGAGCAGAGATTGGAAATCTGGCAAGGCCTAAGAACTCTCAAAGTCTGCCCACAATGATGTGCTTCCCTCCAGCATGACCACACCTCCTAAGGTTCCATGATCCTCCCCAAACAGTGCAACAAACTGGGGATCAAGTGTTCAAATACTTGGAGTCTATGGGGGACATTTTCATTCAAATTACTACAATATATATTGTTAAGGTTGACTGGTAATATAGTTTAGAACTTCAGATTTATCATGGCAAAATCTCTCTTTATTAATTTTTCTTGAAAGGATTCCACTTTTACAGAATGTTGAATTTAACCTTTAAGTTACATATAAGGGGTTTTCATTCAGAGACTATCCTTGAGGGCTGGGAGTGTGTCTCAGTAGTGCCTAGCATATATAAGGTCCTGAGTTCTGTTTGTAGCACTGTGCACGCATGCGTGTGCACTCACACCCCCCCATTGAAAGAATAATTGAAGTTTTGATTTTAATATTAGTCATAAATTGAGTTTATCTCTTTGTTTTTGAGATAGGATCTCAGGTAGCCCAGGCTGGTCTTAAACTTGCTGTGTAGCTGAAGATGACCTTAAACTTTTTATCCTCTTGTCTCTATATCCCAAGTATAGATTATAATCTTGTGCCACTTTTCCTGGTTTTATACAGTGCTGGGGATCGAACCCAGGGCTTTATACATTCCAGGTAAGCATTCTACCAACTGAATCATATCCCCAGAAGAGATTATTTCTTTATGTATTTTCTTTTTATCAAACTTTTTAAAATTACTGTTTCTAGATTTTATACCTTTGTTTGGTCTTCATTGTGTAATTTGATTTGATAGGTGTTTGTCCTTGAGGAAATTCTCAGGCTAGCTAAAACAAAAGGGAGAATATCCTTATTTTTAGTTTTGCTATAAATTTAGGAAATCTAGTACCAATCATTCATATTAAAGTTTTGTTTTAGAAATTTGAATTAAAAACAACTTACATTGTCCTAAAACATACCTCTTAAAAAGTTACAGTTTGGGGGCTGGAGAGATGACTCAGTGGATAAAAGCACTGGCTACTCTTGCAGAGGACCTGAGTTCAGTTCCCAGCACCCACATGGTGGCTCACAAAGTTCCATAACACCAGTTCCAGGGGATCCATTGCCCTCTTCTGGCCTCCATGGGCACTGCATGTACAGGTGCACTTGAAATGCAGGCAAAACACACACAAAATAAAAATAAATAAAATTTAAAGCTGCAGTTTTACATAGTCTTAATCTCATAAATATCAGTTGGACATTGTTTATGATTGAGATGCCCAAACATGTAAAATAAATTTTATTATGATTTAATGTTTTCCAGATGAAGGTAATGAAACAGAGGTGCAGCCACAACAAAATAGCCAGTTAATGTGGAAACAAGGTCGACAGCTGCTCAGACAGTAAGTACCTCAAGGTTAAACTTGGATATAGTTGAAACTGAGGAAGAAAATATTTTGATGAGGGTTTACAGGTTTTGTTTTGTTTTGTTTTTGTTTTGGTTTTGGTTTTTCATTTTTTGTTTAGGGGTTTTTATTCTGTATTTTCAACTCAAAAAATTCTCTGTAACACTGTTGCAGAGAAAAACCTTAATTGAATTACTGTTCATTTTTCATATTCAACACTTTTTCCCTTTGTTGGAATTCCTGTAGTTAAAAGAATCCTATCCTTATTCTCATTTTGTCATCTCTGCACACACACACACACACACACACGCATGCTTTAATATAAAGCCAATCAGTAGTTTCACAGACTTTTTGTCTATGTCTTACAAACTTTTTAAATAAATTGAAGAACTTTTTGAATTCCCCAAATTTTGCAAATGCTGTGTAACATGCTTTCTCCTATAATTGTGTGCAAAGGTTCTGATGTCAAGTGGTGGACTGGACCTGCTCACCAGCTCAGGGCCTGGTCCTTGCATACTGTCTTTGAAACTGGTGTGTAGACTTATGCCAAAGTAAAGTGAAATTTGCTACTTGTTTTGGACTTTGGGGTTGTTACTAGTATAGTCTTAAGATTTTCAGAATAGATTGGTGCCATTCTTTCCTTTTGACTATAGAATTTTACATCTCATTATACTTGTCCTTTATCTAAACAAATTTAGAAAAAATGGTTATCTGCTACTAAAGTGGATTTTCAGTAGTGTCCTCACTTTAATCCCAAATATGACATGTATTTTCCTTTTAAATTTCTTTTCCATACTGTGGAGTAAACCCAGGGGCTTATGCATGCCAGGCAAGTGCTCTACTTCTGAGTTACACATGCACCGTATTTGTTTGTTTATTGACATGGTCTCACTGAGTTAGTTACCTAGGCTGGCCTTGAATTTGCAGTATTATGCTTGAGCCTCCCCAGCAGCCAAGATTATAGGTATGTGCCATCATGTCTGGTGCATTTTCATTTTTTAAGTGGATAAGTGCTCTTAAAATGTTAATTTCTTTTTATTGTTAATGAGAAATGGTTTCATAAGTTGAGATGTTCCAAACTTTAAAGGGCTAATTAGCTACTTCTCAAAAAGGTACATTTGATCGGTGATTTTATGCAGTAACTATTTAATAAAACCCAGCTTATCTATGGCTAAAGCAGTTTTGAATCAAGCATTTATAATGTAGTTTTGTTGCCAAAGTGAGGCGCATACCAAATATTAATTATTAAAAATAGAAAAAAGCTTACTTTATTATAGTAGTTTTTAAAGAATATTGATTAAATTTAGAAAAGTGAAAATTTTTATTTCACATTTTTATCAATACTTTCTATAGATATTTAATGGGACTGAAAAATGAGCATCTTGATTTAATAAGATACATTGATTCCATTTGATTGTGTATTTTTGTGAGGTTCTGCTCTGATAACAATTAAAATGAAATCTTGAAGTAAGCTGATCTTAAACAAGCTGTCTGGTCAACCATAGTTATCTTGTTTCATTCAATAAACTCCATGCCTACTATATAAATAAACGTGAGATGATATTCTGTTGTGCTTATTGACGAAATTTTTCTTCTTCATGGTCCTACCTCTGCCACTTTGGATCTTTAAAATATATATTATTGGGACTAGAGAGATGACTCAGCAGTTAAGAGCACTGGCTGCTCTTGTGAGCAGAGGACCCAAGTTCAGTTTTCAGCACCTACATGGTGGCTAACAACCATCCATAACTCTAGTACCAGAGGATTCCCCTCTGTGGGAATTGCACGCCCAAAGTGCACTTACATATGTGCAAACAAAACATTAATACACTTAAAAATTAAATTAAAAATTAATTAAAATATTATTAACTTTGGTGTTACTAGGTATTAGGTGCTTTTGTATATGCCAGATGGCGTTGTTAGGTTTATTCCATGGGAATGAAAATTGAGGTTTAGGAGAATGAAAGTTGTGCAACAAGTAAGTGGCACAAGTGGGATTAAGACCCAGATAACACTCCACACACAGTCTGTGCTGCTGACTCCCAGGAACATAAACAAATTGACATGAATTTTCACCCCTTACCTTCTACAATTTAATTGTGGTCTATTTTGTTTTAGAATTGTCTCAGGACAGAATGTTTGTTCTGTAAGTAACACGAGAAAAATACTGTCTTTTTTAATGTCATGGAAGGAAACCATTTATACTAGAAACATTCTCTAGATTTCAGTTGATGACATTTTATATTAGAAATGTTCTTTTTTTAAACTACTGGAATCATTATTATAAAATAGTCCTACTTGGTGTCAGACTAATTGGTAGAGTTTGAGAGTGAGCTTGTTCCATTCTTTCCTGAAGAAAAAATGTGCTGTGAAATATATTAAAGAACAGTTTCTTTTTAGGATAAATGAATAGTGTATTGTATAGTTCTTTGGTTTTCTCAGTGACCATAGAGGCTGGTACTGCAAGAGACAGCTCCATCTGCAGCTGGAATATTATTAACACATCTTACTAACATAGTATTGTACTGTTAAGTCTTGTGTAGGCAATGAATTGAAGGAGCACTTTTATTTGCATATTAACTTTAGAATGCTGATCCCTGTATGGCTGAATTGTAAGGGCCCTCTTCACACAGGTATCTCCAGGAAGTCGGCTACACAGACACTATTCTAGATGTGAAGTCTAAACGAGTGCGAGCATTGTTGGGCTTTTCAAGTGATGTCACTGATAGGGAAGATGACAAAAACCAGGACTCAGTTATAAATGGCACAGACGCTGAAGTTAAAGAGACAGCAATGATTGGGTAAGTATTTTGTCTGGAAATTGATTCAGTTATAATTTCAGTTCTTACTATTTTTTGGTATTGGGGGGATTATATTTAAAATAATAACTTATAAAGAAATTAATTATAGTTCATTAAGTGTTACAATTTTAAAGTTTCACTTGGTTAGAAGCAGTTAAGATTAAGAATATAATTTATGCTTATAGTATTTTTATTTGCTTGAAATTTAGGTATTTAATGTAGATGTTAATATCTTGAAGTTCAGTCAACCACTGTTAGAATTTCATGAGTTTATTGAAATTCAGTACAGATCTGTAAGAATGAAATTCTATTGATGAACCAGAAATTATAAAAGTACCTCAGAAAAGTAAACCTTTTCTTAATCATTCCATTTATATCACAATGCTATAACTCATCTTTCCTTAAATAAATATCTACTATATGTATGTACACATTTAAGTAATGGACTAAGTGTGGAAAATTCAAAAGCTATTTGAAATATTTTATTTTCCTCTTGAACCATAGGTCATAGATTTATACCCAATTCTACTTAGAACATGAACAGTTCAATAAAGAGATTATTCTTTATTAGAAAAAGGTAATCATAAATCTTAGTTGAATAAAAAGCCAAAGAATCTGTGAAAGTGCAAGTCTGACATTAAGTCATGTTTAGAATAGAAGAATAATTTTAATTGAACTCTGTAAAATTTCTAGGGAAAACATAGTTCCTGTTACTTGGAACATAAAACTAAGGGATTAGAGCTGGGTGTGGTGGTACACGTCTTTAATCCCAGCACTTGGGAAGCAGAGGTAGGAGAATCTTTGTGAGTTCAAGGCCAGCCTGGTCTACAAAGGGAGTTCCAGGGAAGCTTAGGGTACAAGGGAACCCTTTTTCAAAAAAAAAAAAAAAAAAAAAAAAACAAAAAAAAAAACAAAACCCAAACAAACAAAACTAGGGGATTAGGTAAAGGTTCAGAATAGGGATTTTGTATACAGATGTCATCGGCTTCGAACTTGTATACAGATGTCTGTGGGGCTTCGAACTGGGACTAGGGAGACCCTGTCCGAGAGAGAGAGAGAGAGAGAGAGAGAGAGAGAGAGAGAGAGAGAGAGAGAGAGAGAACATGTGAATGTTATTCTTGGTTGTTTTTTACCTTAGAAGTTAGGTCATTATATATTTTTTGTAATTATAAAAACTTATATAAGAAATAAAAGGAAGATTTGCAGGGAATAAAACAGCAGGGAAAAATGGAGTTACTTAATTTTTTTTTAAAGAAACATATTAAGGTTGATACAAGAATTAAAACTATAGTGAATCAGAATTCTTCACATTAGATCGCCACTAATATAAATAGATAAGATTCAAAAGTACTTTAAAACTTCCTGTCTTTTTCAATTAATCCACAGAATTGTAATACGTGGGAATCAGTGGTAGGTCTCATAAACAGAAGTTATTGAAACTTATCAAGAGGTTTTGGGATTTTAATGTTTTGTTTTGCTTTGCTTTGTTTAATGCTGAAGTTTTAAAAGATTAACTGAGTAAGGTATACATGTTTTAAAACAGAAAATCCGAGTTAACGGATTCTGCCTCAGTGCTGGATAATTTCAAATTCCTTGAAAATGCAGCTGCAGACTTCAGTGATGAAGATGAAGATGAGGATGTTGATGGAAGAGAGAAAAGTGTCATTGATACTTCAACAGTAAGTTAGATAACTCACAAAATAAATATTTTTAAGCAGTATACTGCATACTTTAAAGGTCCATGTTTTTTCAATCTAAACTCTTAAATTTTTTTCACGAATTTTGGGCAAGTAGAAAGTTTTTAATACTGATTTAACTTTCAATATTTTCAGTGTGTTGCCTTTCCTATAGAATCCCTTGCTTTTTGTAATTCATTAAGCAAGGCCACATTTTCGTAGAACTGGTGAATATGATAAATACTGCCTATTGTAACAATTCCCTGTTGCTGGTTGTTAAAAGACAATAGAGCTGACAGACTTGGGATCCTGCTTGATGACAGCTAGCATAAGTTCTGAACCATGCAGTTTTTGACTCTCTTGGGAGAGCTACTTTGATAGACAAGTTCTACAGATTTCCAGAACTCTTACATTAGAAGAGTTTTAGAATTAGTATTTTTATTCAGATCTATAAGTTTATTGACTTTTCCATGCAGTTTTCTGCAATAAGAAGTGTCTCTAAGTTGCTGTTTATTCCTTCTCCAGTCGCTTCCCTCCTCTCTTCCTTTTCCTTTATTTCCTTACTTTCCCTGCCTTTCCATTCTTCTTCCTCCTGTTTAAAGTAAGAGATGAGGACATGATTTGTTTTGTTAGGAAAGTGTTTGAACTTCCTTTTTTATTTAGTAATAGGAGGAGGAAAGCTAAATTACATGAAGCAGACTGGACCCAGGGTATAGGGCTTGAGTTTAAGGCTTACATCTGCCACAAATTCTGTTTCTTAATGCTCTGGCAGAATTTTCTTAGTTGGTAAAATAAGGATAGTAATAAATACCCATCTTATCCTCAGAGGATTTTTGAGACACTCTATATGAAAAATTTATATTTAGCTATAAATGCTTTCTAAGTCTGATTTGGCTTTTTATACCCTCTGCTTTCTGGGCTTCATCAGATTATTATGTCTCTGGGCCACTAGTCAGCAACACCCTGCTGATGTTAGCCTTATGGTAGATATTATTTGATCTTTAAGTTCTGACTCAAATTTTTCTTGCCAAATAATGGCATGTGTTGGCCTAAACGTGTCTGGTACTTTTCTTTGTCTTAATCACCTGAAAATTACATAATTTCTTGTGGTTTCTGTGTGATCATGACTTTAAGATATTGTTTTCTCATCAGAATACATTATTCATAGTTCAGTGTTAAATAACTGATGCTTTAAATTTCTTTGTTGGTAACTATATCAATTTAAATATTTAAGGATCTATAAACCAGTTACTAAAAGCTATTTTGACTGATTAAATTAGAAATTTCTAACAATAACCTGCCTTATTTCTTAGTTTCTAACCATGTAATTTCTTTTTAAATAATCAAATTTATAAGTATTCTACACTCTAATTAGTGCTGACTGTAGCACTATTGTAGGTCAAGCAATGAAAGTACATTCAGTGGGAACAGACCTACCTACATTCAAATACTGGACTCAAAATCTTTTCTCCCTTACACCTTAACCGGGGGGGGGGGGCAAAGGTATTTAAATGATTGTCTTTTTCTTAACGATGTTATTAAATTTTACATTATAGTTTATTAATTTTCACAGCTGTAGCGTAATAGGTACATGCCAAAAAGGATTTTTAAAATCTTAACATGACAAGCATAACAGAAAATTTATTACATTTTATAAGAGAGAATGGATGAAAATTGTCCTATTAAAATGTTAACAGAACTAATAGGTTTTAAAAACATTGTTTTATGGGGCTAGAGAGATAGCTCAGCGGTTAAGAGCACTGGTTGTTCTTGCAGAAGACCCGGGTTTGAGTCCCAGCACCCACATGGCAGCTAACAACTGTCCGTAACTCCAGTCAGGGGATTCGACAGCCTCTTCTGACCTCTGCGGGCATTGAACGACATGGGTGCACTGACCTACATGCAGGCAATACACGCATACACATAAAATAAAATAATAATAATAAAAATAAAAGGACATTGTTTTACTTCTTTAAGCAAAGAAACAAGGCTCTTAGTAACTGTTGGTTATATTTAGGCTATTATAAAGCGCAGCATCTCCGAGGCTATGCGTTCTGTCCTGTCTTTCTCTTTGCCCTCCTCAGAGTTTGCTTGTTTATTGTGTTATTGCAGATTGGAGTATTTCAGTCTTCTCTTTCCTTGTCATCAACCACTTCACCATACTGTACTTTTCCTGTCGTTATCATCAACATTCTCATCTTCATCAGCTCAGAATAATTAAAATCTTGAAATTATAAATACATTGAAAAGCTACCCATTTTAAACTATATCAAGGATAATTTCTGTAGCAACATTTTTTTGTCTTATTAAAGAACTTCATGTAGAAAAAACAATGGAATTAAGAATTATTAGCTATTGGTTTAGTAGTATAAAGAATCTTAATCCCCTGGGACTGGAGGGATATCTCAGTGGTTAAGAGCACTGGTTGTTCTTGAGGAGGACCTCGGTTTGGTTCCCAGCATCCATGTGACTGCCAGCAACATCCGTTACTCCAATTCCAGTTGAATTCAACACCCTCTTCCAACCTCTCAGGGCATTGCACATCACAGGTGCACTTACACACATGCAGGCAATACACTCATACACATAAAATTAAAAATTTTTAAAAAGAGTCCTAATCCCATTCATGCTGTGTTTCTCTGATGACACACCATCTAGCTTGTAACTTGTATTTCTTTGTCTTCATTTCTTAAATGATTTGTGAACTCTTTGAAGATAGAATTGGAGTCAAACCTCCTGTGTGAGGCAAGAAAGCAATATATGTTCCTTATTAGAAGCCTCAACCCCTTCCTGTTATTTGCCATATAGTCCTTTGGCAGCCACAATTCATTTTTCTTTGATGCCTAAATATTAAAAACACAGGACTTTTGGTTTATTTAAAATGAGATGCTTGATAGGCATGATCTGTAATGATGGTGATAAAGTTGCTGTTTATCTCAGTTTGTTTAACGTTACCTAGAAACGTTTTTTTCTGGGAGCTGCTTTTGTGACTTAATACCATGTTTAGTAATAACTAAAGTCAAAAATACTCTTGAGACCTTTAATTTGAGGTTCCAGGTACTATTTCTGGATTTTCCCTGCCCTTTTTGTCAGGCAATGAGAACAAGGACTCTCCATCCATAAGATGCTAGTGATGGCCCTGATGCTAGTGTCCCACCACAGTCAGGGAGAGAGTGTATCATGAAGCCTTTAGGAACGGTCAGTGTATGTGGAACTGTGGCAGGTAGGGCAACCTATTGGCACCAGTCTTCAGACACAGTTTTCTAGAGTTTGGCTGCTCAGGAAAATCTAGAAAAAGTTATCAGGAAATGGTTTGTGAATAGTTGGCAAAAAGAAAAAAGATGCACATTTATTGTGGATTTTTTGTTTACAGCCTGCCACAGTAGTCTTGCTTTTGTTTATTTGCTCATTTCTGTTTTTGTTGACTAGGTTCTCAAGCTTTTAGATTTGGAAGTACTTCACGCATAGAAGTATTTCTTTATTTTAGGGTATTAAATCCAAATACATAATTAAGACTGACAAGCTTCTCCTGTGATGCCAGTGTTGTTTTAAAAGTAGTGCTTTCTTGGAGTGCTGTGTTGAGAAGAATTTCTAAGCCTGTGTCATCTTTGATGAAAAGTGCTATGATACAGATACCAGATACTAGCATGGGAATAGGGCCATCATGCCCAGTGTTCATTAGGGTTAGAACCTGTATACCTTCAAGCTACTCAATACAGTCCAGGGATCAAGTTCAGTCAGATCATGCGATTTCTGTTTTGCATGGAGTGAGGAAGCTAAAGTCTAGAGAAGCTGAAATGTTAAGTCACTTTATCAAAGAAGATACGAGCCATCGTCTTTGAGCTCATGTTGTTTCAGGTGACCAAAAAGAAGATAATTCATAGAACATAGCCATGTTGATCTCAAACTTCTCTTTAGGGTTAGCTTTTTAAAGTTCTATTAGGTTTATGGTTCTAGAACTACTTCTAAATATATAAAGATTAATAATTCTAAGTTATGTCACTATGAAAGGTCAATATTTTAGGAAGAAGTTGAATATATAAAGAACTCTTGAACTGAGCACGTGGTATGTGTCCGTAGTGCCAGCACTCTGGGAAGCTAAGGCAGGAATATCTCAGTTTCAAGGCTAGACAGGGTCCCATAGTGAGACTATCTAGGAGACAAAGTAGCTGCTAGAGAGGTTGAGAGCAGTAGAGTAACTTTCTGGACCCAGCAGGGCCATGGCATCCTTAAGGAATGCATTTCTGCCTTTGTAGTTGTGCTTTGGGGTTTTATGAAGAAATGATGTAGTTCTGTTGGGTTATCATGGTTGTATTCTGGAAAGCACGTACACTTTGTGGAATGTATCCTATTTGAATTAGATTGGAATGTTTGCAAACTGCACATACTGCATCTAAGAAATGTAAATGTTAATTGTTCTCATAATCATCTGTTTATAGTTTAAGTTCAGGTCTTTTCAATTATTCATATATATACTCTTTAGTTTATTTAAAGTAAGCCATAATACCATTGGATAAAGTTTAAATTACTGCTTTAAATATACAGTGTTTGTTTTTAAAAAAGTCAATATATTAGCCAGGTTTGGTGATACGTGCCTTGAATTTCAGCACTTGGGAGGCAGAGGCAGGTGAATCTCTGTGAGTTCAAGATCAGCCTAGTCTTCTCCAAGCCAGTTAGAGAGACCCTATGTCAAAAAATTAAAAAAAAAATTTTTTTAATTAAAAAAAAATCAATGCATTTTTCACTAAGGTATTACAGTTTTTAATACAACAAATATATACTTTCTGAAGAAAATAACTGAATTGCTTTTCATATTCATTTGTGAAGGGATAGTGTCTTTTATTTAAATTAAATGCAGAATATATGCTAATATTTTAATTTGGTTTGTTTTCCACCACTTTAGATTGTTCGGAAAAAAGCATTGCCTGATACTAGTGAAGATAGAGATACAAAAGAAGCTCTCAAGGAGTTTGACTTCCTGGTTGCATCAGAGGAAGGAGACAGTGAATCTAGAAGTGCAGGCGATGGGACAGACTGGGGTAAGGAAGCATACTGAATCCCAAGTAGAGATCTGAGGAAATACAGGAAATTGGTAAATTACCAAGAGGGCAATATCTTGAAAAGAACTATGATTTTTTTTTTTTTTTTTTTTTTTTTTTTTTTGTCTTTTTGAGGCAGAGTCTCCCTGTAGCCCCAGCTGACCCGGAACTCACTGTGTAGACCAGGCTGGCCTCAAACTTACAGAGATCCGCCTGCCTCTGCCTCCCAAGTACTGGGATTAAAGGTATGCACCACTGTGCCCTGCAAAAAGAACTATGATTTTGAAATGTTATAAATTCAGTGAAATTTTTACCACTGTTATCTTTTATCTAGGTTATTTGTGTTTATGGAAGGAAGATTGTGTAACTAATTACCTCATCTTTTTTTTTTAACGTAAGTCATACAGTATGAAAATAATTCAAATTAAAATACAGGCTATTTTGTTTTCTGCTCAGGCAGTAAAACCCACTGATCTAGATTTAGGGGAAACTTGAGTCTGAGAATGTAATATAGAGGATTTTAGTCATCTCAAACTATCTGGCATCTTATGTGCAAAAAGATGTTAGAATATTGCAGTTATCCATGCTTCTTCAGGCTTTGGCAGTTATACAGACACAGGTTTAGGGTCTTTGGCTTGGTTCAGATTGATCTAAATAACTCTAAATATTTAAAACTTCTAATAAGAATTAAAGCAGGGACCTTTTCTTTAACAGATTATTTTAGTAGTTTGAAAGAATTATGATAAATCCTTCAAGAGTGATCAGTTTTATAAAGTGTGTGTGTGTATATAAGGTGTGTATATGTATATAAAGTATACATATGTATATAAGAGAAACAAAGAAAAAGAAGAGGGATCTAGTATTTGGTCAAGTATATATTGAGAGAATGTAATGTTGCCAA